TGGTGCATCCTTATCCAGCCTTTCGATGGCTGTGGAGGACTGTCCTCAGCTACCCTTGGTCGGCTGAGCAGCACATCAACGTACTGGAAGTGACAGCTGTCCTCACGGAGTTCAGGAGGCGCCTGAGAGATCCCTCCAACATCAAGCTGCGGATTATGAACATCGTGGACAGTTTGGTGACATACTATGCTCTTACAAAAGGACGGTCGGGCAGCAAGCGGTTGAATCGGACACTACGAAGGCTCATGGCGCTCAATGTGGCCAGCAAGTCGGTGCTCATCTCCCTTTGGACCCTCAGCAAGTGGAACTATGCGGATGCGGCATCACGCCGCTTTGAGAAGAAGTGATGCCACGGCCAAAGCTTCATCTCAAGTTCAAAGGGATAGCACCAAAGACAGCACGAGCCTATCGCAAAGAGATTCAACGCTTCTTTCAATACCTTTCCTCTGAGGAGGTGGAAATACCGTCCGATGTTTCACGCTTGGATTTTTTGGTCTCTGAGTATATCAATGTTCTGTATCAGGAGGGTGATAGCATCTCTCAAGCAGGCTGGCTTTTGAGTGGGTTGAAAAGATTCATCCCCAAACTGCGGTTTCAGTTACCAACTGCTCAGCAGTACTACAACAACTGGCTGCGGGACCATGTCCCAATGAGGGCAGTTCCCATACCTTGGCTGGTTATCAAGGGCCTAGCTGGACTGGCGTGGCAAATAGGCCACCATGATTTGGCTGCCCTACTCCTTTTGGGCTTTTGTTTCTTCCTGCGTACAATGGAGTTTCTCACCCTTCCTCGACAGAATATTGTGGTAGACTTGCACACAGAGCAAGTTGTAGTGACTTTGGAAAAGACCAAAACTTCAAAGCAGTTTCAGCAATCACTTGTGCTGCGGCACCGTGGCCTCGTCAGGATTTTAGCAACCTTGTTGCCCCACTTGCCCTCAAAGGGGCCCATTTGGAGGGCCTCTCCAAAATCCTTCCGAGATTGTTTCACCCGGCTCCTTCGGCATTTTGCCTTGCAAAGTTTTGATTTTTCGCTTTGCAGCATCAGAAGGGGAGGTGCTACGCACTTCTATACTGCAACGCGGGACCTCCACTATGTCACTCTTCAAGGCCGGTGGAAAGACGTGCGTACAGCACGGATCTATTTGGATGATGCCAGGGCAACACTTTTGAAATTGGCTTTGCCCCCACCCGTCGCCCACGCCCTTACAGCTGCAGCAGCTGCCTGGTCTTCATTCAGGTAGCTTCGCCAAAGGCATCGTTTGGGTACGATTGGGGTCGGGTATTTGGGTGCTGGCCTTTTGTCTCCTGCTGCGGCGGGGCTTTTCATTGTTGCCTGAGGGCATGTCCTTCTGCCTGTGGGCAAGAGAATGGGTAGCCCATCCATACGTGGTGGTTGCACCCAATCGTGATTACCTGCACGGCTGCATGTGCAAAAATCATGCTTGGCCGAGTTGGGTTTGAAGGGATAGAATAAGACCAGTCCTGTCAACATGAAGTGTTGGTGGACGTTGGTTTCTATCCTAATTCACTCGAGGCCGTTTGTAGCTCCCATCCCAATCCCTCCCCCTTTGGGTATTTGGGTGCTGGCCTTTTGTCTCCTGCTGCGGCGGGGCTTTTCATTGTTGCCTGAGGGCATGTCCTTCTGCCTGTGGGCAAGAGAATGGGTAGCCCATCCATACGTGGTGGTTGCACCCAATCGTGATTACCTGCACGGCTGCATGTGCAAAAATCATGCTTGGCCGAGTTGGGTTTGAAGGGATAGAAATATATATATATATTATATATATATATTACACATACAGTGGGGAATATTACAGTCCATGAGGAATCCCCATAAACCAAGGAGTTTTTTAAGGGACGACACAGGGCTTTGAACACTGCTCAGTTGGCTAAGTTGATAAACATTTTGTTCCAATAACTGTTAGGAGTAACAGAAGCCAACAAACATGACTGGGGAAAACCGTTTTCTTGGATCCAAAACTCACTTGATAGCACACTTCTTGAGTCTAAACGTGTGGCGCCAGGGAAATCACCAAGAGTATGTACCACTCCTGTGACTAGTTTTGGGACCAACGATAGAGACAACCTTTGAGCTGTGCTTTGAAAAAACTCAACAAGTCAGGTTGGCCTTGCTGAAAAATCAATATGCATACCTCCAGGTATGCGAAAAGCTCGAGTGTCTGCAGGGTTTGATATGGTGTTGCTGGGGATGAACGACGTAGTTTCTGCTGGAATTGTCAAGTTTAGACTGTGGGACATTGCAACTGCAGATGACATGGCCAAAAGAGCAGGGACAAGCTTGGCTGAGAGTGGGACATTCCTCGACATCGGGGCCAATATTGGCTACTACACCTTGCTCTTTGCCCACAAAGGCTTCAATGTGATAGCTGTGGAAGCCATGACGCGCAATCGGCAAGCCATCATGGGGAGTCTATGTCTAAATCCTCACCTGCGTTCTCGGGTTACACTTGTGCCGACTGCATTAGCTGCGCCTTCCGAGGTTGATTCTGCAACCTGCATCATCAAGAGCACAAATTCAAAGATCAATATTGGCAACGGGCATCTTTCATGTGGACCTGATAAGAAGTGTGACAGCGGGGATGCAAATTGTCAACCTGTGGAGTTAAAAACTCTGGATAGTGTCCTTGCAGACTTGTCGCCTGCATCTGTGGATGTGATGAAGATGGACGTGGAAGAACATGAGTGTCAGGTTCTTGCTGGTGGCGATTCCTTGTTTTCAAAATACCACCCAAAGCTGCTGCAAGTAGAGACACAGTTTGGCGATGCTCGGAACTGTCTTCACAACAAAGCTTTGCAATACGGATACAGAGAAAAACAAATGGGTCCTGACACTGCCTTAGTCTTGGATGTTGCTGAGCATGCAGGGCAATTCAGTGAAGGAACAACTTTGGCCCCAGTTCTTGCTTCAACTTTGAAGCCACTTGGTTCCACAATCTATGAGAGAACCTCCAGTGATGGTGGTTGTGTACCACCTGGTATGAACAAAGCAAGAGTGTCTGCAGGCTTTGACATGGTTGTGTTGGGGATGAACGACATCGTGTCCTCTGAAATCGCTCGTTTCGGACAGTGGGAAATTGCAACTGCAGATGACATGGCCAAAAGAGCAGGGACAAGCTTGGCTGAGAGTGGGACATTCCTCGACATCGGGGCCAATATTGGCTACTACACCTTGCTCTTTGCCCACAAAGGCTTCAATGTGATAGCTGTGGAAGCCATGACGCGCAATCGGCAAGCCATCATGGGGAGTCTATGTCTAAATCCTCACCTGCGTTCTCGGGTTACACTTGTGCCGACTGCATTGGCTGCGCCTTTCGAGGTTGATTTTGCCACCTGCATCATCAAGAGCACAAATTCAAAGATCAATATTGGCAACGGGCATCTTTCATGTGGACCTGATAAGAAGTGTGACAGTGGGGATGCAAATTGTCAACTTGTGGAGTTAAAAACTCTGGATAGTGTCCTTGCAGACTTGTCGCCTGCATCTGTGGATGTGATGAAGATGGACGTTGGCTGAGAGTGGGACATTCCTCGACATCGGGGCCAATATTGGCTACTACACCTTGCTCTTTGCCCACAAAGGCTTCAATGTGATAGCTGTGGAAGCCATGACGCGCAATCGGCAAGCCATCATGGGGAGTCTATGTCTAAATCCTCACCTGCGTTCTCGGGTTACACTTGTGCCGACTGCATTGGCTGCGCCTTTCGAGGTTGATTCTGCAACCTGCATCATCAAGAGCACAAATTCAAAGATCAATATTGGCAACGGGCATCTTTCATGTGGACCTGATAAGAAGTGTGACAGCGGGGATGCAAATTGTCAACCTGTGGAGTTAAAAACTCTGGATAGTGTCCTTGCAGACTTGTCGCCTGCATCTGTGGATGTGATGAAGATGGACGTGGAAGAACATGAGTGTCAGGTTCTTGCTGGTGGCGATTCCTTGTTTTCAAAATACCACCCAAAGTTGCTGCAAGTAGAGACACAGTTTGGCGATGCTCGGAACTGTCTTCACAACAAAGCTTTGCAATACGGATACAGAGAAAAACAAATGGGTCCTGACACTGCCTTAGTCTTGGATGTTGCTGAGCATGCAGGGCAATTCAGTGAAGGAACAACTTTGGCCCCAGTTCTTGCTTCAACTTTGAAGCCACTTGGTTCCACAATCTATGAGAGAACCTCCAGTGATGGTGGTGTGTACCACCTGGTATGAACAAAGCAAGAGTGTCTGCAGGCTTTGACATGGTTGTGTTGGGGATGAACGACATCGTGTCCTCTGAAATCGCTCGTTTCGGACAGTGGGAAATTGCAACTGCAGATGACATGGCCAAAAGAGCAGGGACAAGCTTGGCTGAGAGTGGGACATTCCTCGACATCGGGGCCAATATTGGCTACTACACCTTGCTCTTTGCCCACAAAGGCTTCAATGTGATAGCTGTGGAAGCCATGACGCGCAATCGGCAAGCCATCATGGGGAGTCTATGTCTAAATCCTCACCTGCGTTCTCGGGTTACACTTGTGCCGACTGCATTGGCTGCGCCTTTCGAGGTTGATTTTACCACCTGCATCATCAAGAGCACAAATTCAAAGATCAATATTGGCAACGGGCATCTTTCATGTGGACCTGATAAGAAGTGTGACAGCGGGGATGCAAATTGTCAACCTGTGGAGTTAAAAACTCTGGATAGTGTCCTTGCAGACTTGTCGCCTGCATCTGTGGATGTGATGAAGATGGACGTGGAAGAACATGAGTGTCAGGTTCTTGCTGGTGGCGATTCCTTGTTTTCAAAATACCACCCAAAGCTGCTGCAAGTAGAGACACAGTTTGGCGATGCTCGGAACTGTCTTCACAACAAAGCTTTGCAATACGGATACAGAGAAAAACAAATGGGTCCTGACACTGCCTTAGTCTTGGATGTTGCTGAGCATGCAGGGCAATTCAGTGAAGGAACAACTTTGGCCCCAGTTCTTGCTTCAACTTTGAAGCCACTTGGTTCCACAATCTATGAGAGAACCTCCAGTGATGGTGGGTGTGTACCACCTGGTATGAACAAAGCAAGAGTGTCTGCAGGCTTTGACATGGTTGTGTTGGGGATGAACGACATCGTGTCCTCTGAAATCGCTCGTTTCGGACAGTGGGAAATTGCAACTGCAGATGACATGGCCAAAAGAGCAGGGACAAGCTTGGCTGAGAGTGGGACATTCCTCGACATCGGGGCCAATATTGGCTACTACACCTTGCTCTTTGCCCACAAAGGCTTCAATGTGATAGCTGTGGAAGCCATGACGCGCAATCGGCAAGCCATCATGGGGAGTCTATGTCTAAATCCTCACCTGCGTTCTCGGGTTACACTTGTGCCGACTGCTGTGGTGGCACCATGGGAACTGCAAAAGACCTGCGTGGAGAGTGGCCAAGATGATGTATCTTCTTGGCACCTGAGATGTGATGGAGCGGATTGTGAATTTGGAAAGAGCTGCAGAGAAGTGCGAGTGTCTACTTTGGATACAATTCTTTTGAACATGTCCCTGCCCCAACCTCTTTCAGTGGCAAAGATAGATGTAGGTGGGCGCGAATGTCAGGTTCTTGAAGCAGGAGATGGCCTTTTTGAGAGCCAAGTACTGCAGATAGCGACACCAACAACAGAGACGAAGAAGTGCGTGCTTACTCATGCCATAAAACATGGATTTCGAGCCACAAAGGTTGGCGGCGCAACGTCGTTGGTTGCCGACACTTCTTTGAAGGGTCTTATTGACACCAACCAAAAGACAGACAACATATTTCCTGTTCTAAGCAGCCACTCGCTGAATGAATGCGTACCACCTGGCATGAACAAAGCAAGAGTGTCTGCAGGCTTTGACATGGTTGTGTTGGGGATGAACGACATCGTGTCCTCTGAAATCGCTCGTTTCGGACAGTGGGAAATTGCAACTGCAGATGACATGGCCAAAAGAGCAGGGACAAGCTTGGCTGAGAGTGGGACATTCCTCGACATCGGGGCCAATATTGGCTACTACACCTTGCTCTTTGCCCACAAAGGCTTCAATGTGATAGCTGTGGAAGCCATGACGCGCAATCGGCAAGCCATCATGGGGAGTCTATGTCTAAATCCTCACCTGCGTTCTCGGGTTACACTTGTGCCGACTGCATTGGCTGCGCCTTTCGAGGTTGATTTTACCACCTGCATCATCAAGAGCACAAATTCAAAGATCAATATTGGCAACGGGCATCTTTCATGTGGACCTGATAAGAAGTGTGACAGCGGGGATGCAAATTGTCAACCTGTGGAGTTAAAAACTCTGGATAGTGTCCTTGCAGACTTGTCGCCTGCATCTGTGGATGTGATGAAGATGGACGTGGAAGAACATGAGTGTCAGGTTCTTGCTGGTGGCGATTCCTTGTTTTCAAAATACCACCCAAAGTTGCTGCAAGTAGAGACACAGTTTGGCGATGCTCGGAACTGTCTTCACAACAAAGCTTTGCAATACGGATACAGAGAAAAACAAATGGGTCCTGACACTGCCTTAGTCTTGGATGTTGCTGAGCATGCAGGGCAATTCAGTGAAGGAACAACTTTGGCCCCAGTTCTTGCTTCAACTTTGAAGCCACTTGGTTCCACAATCTATGAGAGAACCTCCAGTGATGGTGGGTGTGTACCACCTGGTATGAACAAAGCAAGAGTGTCTGCAGGCTTTGACATGGTTGTGTTGGGGATGAACGACATCGTGTCCTCTGAAATCGCTCGTTTCGGACAGTGGGAAATTGCAACTGCAGATGACATGGCCAAAAGAGCAGGGACAAGCTTGGCTGAGAGTGGGACATTCCTCGACATCGGGGCCAATATTGGCTACTACACCTTGCTCTTTGCCCACAAAGGCTTCAATGTGATAGCTGTGGAAGCCATGACGCGCAATCGGCAAGCCATCATGGGGAGTCTATGTCTAAATCCTCACCTGCGTTCTCGGGTTACACTTGTGCCGACTGCTGTGGTGGCACCATGGGAACTGCAAAAGACCTGCGTGGAGAGTGGCCAAGATGATGTATCTTCTTGGCACCTGAGATGTGATGGAGCGGATTGTGAATTTGGAAAGAGCTGCAGAGAAGTGCGAGTGTCTACTTTGGATACAATTCTTTTGAACATGTCCCTGCCCCAACCTCTTTCAGTGGCAAAGATAGATGTAGGTGGGCGCGAATGTCAGGTTCTTGAAGCAGGAGATGGCCTTTTTGAGAGCCAAGTACTGCAGATAGCGACACCAACAACAGAGACGAAGAAGTGCGTGCTTACTCATGCCATAAAACATGGATTTCGAGCCACAAAGGTTGGCGGCGCAACGTCGTTGGTTGCCGACACTTCTTTGAAGGGTCTTATTGACACCAACCAAAAGACAGACAACATATTTCCTGTTCTAAGCAGCCACTCGCTGAATGAATGCGTACCACCTGGCATGAACAAAGCAAGAGTGTCTGCAGGCTTTGACATGGTTGTGTTGGGGATGAACGACATCGTGTCCTCTGAAATCGCTCGTTTCGGACAGTGGGAAATTGCAACTGCAGATGACATGGCCAAAAGAGCAGGGACAAGCTTGGCTGAGAGTGGGACATTCCTCGACATCGGGGCCAATATTGGCTACTACACCTTGCTCTTTGCCCACAAAGGCTTCAATGTGATAGCTGTGGAAGCCATGACGCGCAATCGGCAAGCCATCATGGGGAGTCTATGTCTAAATCCTCACCTGCGTTCTCGGGTTACACTTGTGCCGACTGCATTGGCTGCGCCTTTCGAGGTTGATTTTACCACCTGCATCATCAAGAGCACAAATTCAAAGATCAATATTGGCAACGGGCATCTATCATGTGGACCTGATAAGAAGTGTGACAGCGGGGATGCAAATTGTCAACCTGTGGAGTTAAAAACTCTGGATAGTGTCCTTGCAGACCTGTCGCCTGCATCTGTGGATGTGATGAAGATGGACGTGGAAGAACATGAGTGTCAGGTTCTTGCTGGTGGCGATTCCTTGTTTTCAAAATACCACCCAAAGTTGCTGCAAGTAGAGACACAGTTTGGCGATGCTCGGAACTGTCTTCACAACAAAGCTTTGCAATACGGATACAGGGAAAAGCCTTTAGGTGCCGACACTGCCTTGGTGAATGATTCTGGTGGCTGAATGAAAATTGCGACGCAAAGTTGTTTAGTACTTTTGCTGTGCCAGTTGCAAGTAAGCCTGATTGAATGAAGCTTGAACCAAGAACTGCCACATAATGGACAATGCCAGGATTATCACGACCGTTCTTTGTGCTAACATAGTGTGCTTTTGCTAGTTTTTTACATATGCTGCATATGCTCTTGTGTTTGTGGTTGACTTGCCCTTGCAGTAGCAGTTGGTGCCACTTTGAAAATGGGTGGGTAGGGTCAGACAATAGGCCTGGTGTGGAAGTCTTGCAATAGGACAGTTGCTGCACTTGTTAAATTCAAGTTTCGGACTATATATGTCATAATGCACCATTCTGATAGGTCCTTGTCTGATTGAACATCGTTCTCTGAAATCATGCGCACCTTGGTTTCAGATTTTGTTCTGATTGTCATTCTCGCTGATCTTGTGTCCAACAGGTCTCCTACTCCTTGACCATCCCTAGGGGTGGCATCGAATTCAACGTGGCTGTTTCTGGGGCAAGCCTTGAGCTTCACCACCGAAAAACCAGAGTTTTGGTGCACAAAAAAAGGATCAAACAGAGCAAGTTGCGATTCAGGTCATCATGACAGGTCTTGGTGGAGAACTATCGCAACTCATTTTTTTGAAGAGACTCCGCACATCATAGCTGTGTTGGGACCGAAGGGCCACATGGGCCACATGCCACAGGATTAGCTTCAGCGATTCGCGTTTTGATTCGTAAAGGCGTCGCCTCAACCTTTTTTTCCTTGGCAGTGGCCCTGTTCTGAGCGATGGAGCCATCCAGACCTACATCATCTACCACGTCGGCAAACTTAGCTGTTGTGCCACGTGGTGGACACGTCGTGGACTTTGTAGTTCTCTTCGCGGTTCCTTTTTTCTCCGTCTTATCTCAAAGTGTTGTTAGAAATTTAGTGTTTTCTCGAAACATTAGCCAGACTTGGTCCAATGTGTTTTTGGCCGAACCCGCTGAATAGCCAAAGACCTTGCAATGGGCCAGAGACTCCTTGCGATCATCGCCAGGGGTCTGCAACCGCTTCGAGTCCCACTTTCTCCGAAACAGGGCATTTTTCAAATCCAAAGACGTTCGCGGATGGAAAAACCTTCGGCTTTGATGCCGGCGCTGCGAAGCATGTGTTTTTATTGCTGTCAAGCTGAGTGGCGATGGAGTCAAACGGCAACAGCTGATTTGGTTTCCTGCTGTTTCCTTGCCTTTTACAGGGCGCCTGCATGGACTCTTGCTTGCCAGGCAGCCTGCTTCAGTTTCATTGCTTCCTGCACGATGCGATTTCGGCAGGGTGACCAAGCCGGGCTTGCGTAACCGTTGTTCTCCTTTGCTTTACATGTCACTCATTACGGGCTTTTGGAACAGTCAAATATGCCCAATTGTAAGTCTTGACAAGGAAAACCACAAAATAGATCGCTTGCTGAGAAGTTTGCTGCGCTATTTTCCCAACAGCGATAGCTTGCGATTGTTAATGGCGTCGTCGGGTTCCTGGCTGACGGCCTGGGCGGGTGTCTCCCAGTGTCTCGGTTGTGTTCTGGGGGTGTCCCGGTGGTGTCTTCGTTGTCTCGGTGGTATTTCGGTGGTGGCTTGGCGGTGGTGTTTCGGTGGTGCCGGTGGTGGTTTCTTGGGGGTCTGTTGATGTCTTGCAGGCGTCGCTGGCGTCTTGCTGTGGCGTCTTGATAATGGTTGCTGACTGGTTCTGATTCAAGGTGGTCTCATCCGTGGCTATTTTGTTGACCAATAAAAGCACAAGAGTTCCTTGATCTTCCATTTTTTTCTGGTGCATTTCAACTGTATGCATCCCCTTATCTTTTGCTGTTGTGGTCGTCAGCAGCCGCAACGTGCGGATCGACTCGTGCAGTCTTTTCCATGCACATCCGTTGGCTTCACTTTTTCCCTTTGGAGCATCCATATTTCTTGTGCACGTAAGCATGTACAATCAGAGACCTTTCCTAGAGATCTTGTACTGAGACCCTGAGTGGAGATCTCTTGCAGAGATCTTGCCCTTGCAGATAGCTTGCAGAGAGCTTGTGCTGAGATCTTATTTAGAGATTTCCAAAAGCGAACTGGATTTCATGGAGACCTTGCACAGGGACAGTGATTTTGCCGAGAGATCTTATAGAGACCTTGTACAGAGATCTTGCCAAGAGACATCACATAGAGACCTTGCACAGGGATCTTGTATGGAGATCTCTTACAGCGATCTTGCCAAGAGATCTCTTCAACAAAGACCTTGCCAAGAGACCACTTGCAGGGATCTTGCACATGGACCTGTACAGAGATCTCTGGCAGAGATCTTGCCGAGGTCTCTTACAGAGATCTTGCCAGGAGAGCTTTAGCAGAGATCTTATTTAGAAATCTCTTGCGGAGGTCTTGTGTGGAAAGCTCTTATAGAAACCTTGTGTAGAGATCTTGCATAGAGATCTCTTGCAGAGAGAGCTTGTGCAGAAATCTTGTAGAGAGATCTCTTGCAGAGAGAGCTTGTGCAGAAATCTTGTAGAGAGATCTCCTAAAGCGATCTTGCCAAGAGACTCTCATAGAGACCTTGTATAGGGATCATGTACAAGGGTCATGTACAGCATTTTTGGCAAGATATTTCTCATAGAGACCTTGTGGAGGGATCCAGTACAGAGACCAGTGACAGAGACTGAGACGTGCCACAAAGGTCTTGACAAAGGGAACCTACACAGGATCTCTTCCACAGGACCTTCTACAGATATACAAAGGGATCTTGCACAGGAGTTTGTACATAGATCCTGACAAGAAAATCTTGCGCGCGCTCCTTTCTAGGAACTTGCAGAATTTACCTTAGTATCTCTTCGTCATGATCTTTGCAGCACTGTTTGGGTTCTCTTGCCGGGATATTTCTTTACAGGCAGCGCCATTGTCCCACGTCATGTCAGGTTCAACTACGAGCTTGACACCAAAGCAGAAGGAATTGGTCTCAGTGGTGTGGTGCCTTGGTGGTTCCCGGTGCTGTCTCCGTGGTGTCTCGGTGGTGCCGGTGGTGGTGTTTCGGTGGTGCCTTGGTGGTGTTGGTGGTGTCTCCGATGCCTTGATGGTGTTTTGGTGGTGTCTTGAGTGATTCTGGCGTCATGCTGGCGTCTTGCAAGTCGTTAACGTTTATATATATATATGCGTTTATTATGAATTGGTATGAAAAGAGACGTACCTTGCTATTGGGGTTGTATGCTGGGTTAATTTCAATAGGAATCGTTTTTTCAAGATCCTTTAGCAATCTGGCCCTTGAAGTCTGTGAGGCGGCTGCAGAAGCGGCAACTTTCCAGGCCCGCCCCCCCAGTTGTGACTCAGCAAGCGACTCCGATTGCTCAACGCCCGCGCTCAGGATCGGTCGCTTCAACATGTTTGCCACGGGTGAGCCGAGGAAAGTAAACAAGAGCAACGCAGAGTTTGCGCACAGTTTTTCTTGCCCGATATCATGATATCTGTGTCAGGAATCCTTTCTGGTGGTTCTTTGAGACAAAAGAAGATCTTCCAATCAGACGGTGAGTGGTTTTTCATATGCCATCACCGGACCTGAATGGGTTCAAAACCTTGGGGAATCAGAACTGTGGACTAGCCATCCATCCCCAAGTTGGCGGGCCAAGCTAAGATTCTCCTACCAAGTTATGGATGGTTTCAAAGTTTCAATAATGTTTACCCTGGGGTAAACTATTGTAGATGTGGAAAACCCATGAAAATCCACTATTTGTAGATGGTTCTCCTAAGGAAACCATGGTTTTCCACACCTATGTTAGTCTACCCTAGGGTAACAAGTAGTTTCAGATCCCTAAAAGGTTTCCATTTTGTCGCCCGGCGCGTGCCACGCCGAAGGAGAAGGCTCTTGCGTCCAGAGACACGCATTGCCCACGCCCCAGCGCTGCAGAAGCCGGGAAGCCTATTTTTCCAACTGGGCCACTGTTTGCATTTACCCTCTGGTAAACTAACATAACTATGGAAAATCACCATTTTTAATGGGAAAACTCACTATAAATGGTCATTTTCAATAGCTACGTTAAATTACCAGAGGGTAAGTATGTTTGTGCACATATCATTGTGGTATGTTTGCATGGATGGATGGATGTATGTATGTAATGTAGTGTAATGTGATGCAATGTAATGCAATGGGTAATGCAATGTAATGCAGTGCAATGTGATGTAATGTAATGTTATGTTAGGTATGTATGGTATGGTATGGCATGGCATGGTATGGTAACTTATGGTATGGTATGGTAATGGTATGGTAATGGCATGGTAATGGTATGGTAATGGTATGGTAATGGCATGGTAATGGTATGGTAATGGTATGGTAATGGTGTGGTAAAGATAAGGTGAGGTAAGGAAAGGAAAGGTAATGTAAATGAAATGTAATGTAATGTAATGTAAATGTATGTATGTCTGTATGTCTGTATGTGTCTATGTATGTATGTATCTATCTATCTATCTATCTATCTAATGAATGTATGTATGTATATATGTATGTAAGTATGTATGTGTGTATGTATGTATGTATGTATGTATGTATGTATGTATGTATGTATGTATGTATGTATGTATGTAGGTACGTACGTACGTATGTAAGTAAGTATGTGTGTATGTATGTAATGTAATGTAATGTAATGTAATGTAATGCAATGCAATGTAATGTAATGTAATGTAATGTAATGTAATGTATGCATGGTATGGTATATATGAATGGTATGTATGAGTGGTATGGTATGGTATGGTATGGTATGGTATGGTATGGTATGTATCGTATGTATGGTATGTATGGTATGTATGGTATGGATGGTATGTATGGTAAGTATGGTATGTATGGTAAGTATGGGATGCATGGTATGCATGGTATGCATGGTATGCATGGTATGCATGGTATGTATGGTATGTATGGTATGTATGGTATGTATGGTATGTATGGTATGTATGATATGCATGGTATGCATGGTATGTATGTGATGTATGTCATGTATGTGATGTATGTCATGTATGTCATGTATGTGATGTATGTGATGTATGTGATGTATGTGATGTATGTGATGTATGTGATGTATGTCATGTATGGAATGTATGTGATGTATGTAATGTATGTCATGTATGCCATGTATATCATGTATGTCATGTATGGAATGTATGTGATGTATGTAATGTATGTCATGTATGTCATGTATGTCATGTATGTCATATATGTCATGTATGTCATGTATGTAATGTATGTATGTATGCATTTAATGTATAGGTATGTACGTATGCACGTATGCACGTATGTACGTATGTACGTATGTACGTATGTACGTATGTACGTATGTACGTATGTACGTATGTACGTATGTACGTATGTAGGTATGTAGGTATGTAGGTATATAGGTATGTAGGTATTTAGGTATGTAGGTATGTAGGTATGTAGGTATGTAGGTATGTAGGTATGTAGGTATGTGGGTATGTGGGTATGTGGGTATGTGGGTATGTGGGTATGTGGGTATGTAGGTATGTGGGTATGTAGGTATGTAGGTATGTAGGTATGTAGGTATGTAGGTATGTAGGTATGTAGGTATGTAGGTATGTAGGTATGTAGGTATGTAGGTATGTAGGTAAATAGGTATGTAGGTATGTAGGTATGTAGGTATGTAGGTATGTAGGTATGTAGGTATGTATGTAGGTATGTATGTAGGTATGTATGTAGGTATGTATGTAGGTATGTAATGTATCTATGTATGTATGTATGTATGTATGTATGTATGTATGTATGTATGATGGGCCGCTTCAATACTGAACCATGTATGTATGTATGTATGTATGTATGTATGTCAATGTATGTATGTCAATGTATGTCAATGTATGTCAATGTATGTCAATGTATGTCAATGTATGTCAATGTACGTAATGTAATGTAACGTAACGTTATGTTATGTTATGTTATGTTATAGTATGTATGTTATGGTAGGTATGTAGGTATGTAGGTATGTAGGTATGTAGGTATGTAGGTATGTAGGTATGTAGGTAGGTAGGTATGTATGGATGGATGGATGGATGGATGGATGGATGTATGTATTATACATACATATGCATATGATATTTGACATGTAATTGATACAGTAGAATGTATATGTATAGTTTACAATTATATATATATACACATACACACGTACCTGAATGTATAGGATTGCATAGGTGCATCAATACATACATACGCGCGTATATTTGCCGTGATCAATCGTTAGATGATATTTCTACATTGGGGGATGATCATACCTCGATTAACTTGGATGTACCATGGTCAATTTAGGAGATTCCCCATTTCATGAGATGACCATCATGCAACTTGACCATGGCACATACGTGGATATGTAGCGAGGTCAGATGATATCTGGCTTTGCTCTGGCGTCTCGGAACTGCTCGACAGTGCGGACCTCCGGGTCTGACCATGGCACATTTTTTCTGAATCAAAGTGGGGAGAATGGGATGGAAATGGATGGAACACATCGATTTCACTCCCAAAATGGAAAGATCAAGGACAGGTGACGAGGGTTTTTGAAAGCCTTCAAGGCGATCAACTTGCCATCACCTTACGATTTCCGCCCAGGTTATGATGCCTTCACCTTGGACCAGTATGGTGTACTCCACAACGGACGTGCTGGGCTGAGCACGAGCCGAGCCGAGCTGGGATGCGAAAGATCAACGGCCCTTGCAAGGTGAGGCATATCCTGGTGCTGCTGAGTGTGTTGCTCGGATGAAGGCCGTTTGGACTTTGCTCGGATCAAAGGAAACCAGTTGACTCTCCCGGTTGACTTTGTAAAATCCATCCATTGTGCAATTCCACATCGGCAAGAAACACTTGGGAACATTCCCCCAAACGGTGTAGCTTGCATGGGCCTTTGCTTCTGTGCCGTTGTAAAGCCTCAACCTTGCAGTTTTTCTGGGTATAGAAACTCTTTGCCCTGGTGCTGCTTTAGTTGAAGAGCACAGTTGGGAGATTGAGCATAGCGGTGCACTTGTTGGATTTCTGATTGAATATTTGAATATGTTGAACATAGTTTCACTGATTCCAATATCGTGTGCTCTAACACGGATTCAATGGCTGACCACAGCCTTGTTGTAGCCAAGCATCTTGCAACGCCTGCGTCAAGTTATTCTTCCATAAACATATTCAGCCGGGGACTTCAAAGCAGCCAATGCAGCGAAGACCAGGAACTTAGATTACGACCAACAAACAAGTGGAACCGGATGGAGAGTACAATTCGACCCAGCAAAGTAGAATGGATAATAGACAGAACTGTCATGGAAAACAGTGAAATAAAGGGAGAACCATGGCGATATGCTTGAGAACTCAACAACAAAGTCCAGGCAGCTGGTAAGCCTTGCGTGATCCTCTCCAACTACGCTGGCTCAGCACTGAGTGCTGGTAGGAACAAGCGGAGTTGAACGACCTGCACTTTGCGAGGTCGTGCAGAACGACAAAAGGAGAAATTGCCGGACATAGGCAAGAATTGTGGTGTAAACGGACAACTTACTGTACATGAACACAATCTTTTTTGGTAGATGTCTATTTCTCTGCAGGCTTTGATCCTGACGATTTGGCTGGAGTTGCAAATGCCTCGGTCCTGTCAGTATCAGTATCTTCTGCGCTACATGGCTATCAAACACACATCAATGAAATCAAACTTAGCCACCTGTAGCCACACTCACCACATACCGATGGAGCCCCGAGGTAACGTCGGGAGAACTGGCTCATCGCTATTTGTCAAAGCAAGGCAGTGGAGGGAACGTCAACCGCGACAGCACTTGAGCCAGAGATGGTTGGGTCTGAAAAGAGGACGGGTACATAAAAAAATGGCTATTTTGGCAGCGAACATGATAATCTTGTCGGGTGCCCTATTTTTGGACCAACCCAGTTGTTGTAAATGCTGTCAGTATAGCGACTGTTTTGTTGCAATTTCCGCATGGACTGGCCAGGAAAACTTGGCACTCGCGTGCTGTGGATTGCCTGGTCGGAGAATCGCCGGCTCGCTTACATGACTGGCAGATGAGCAAAGGAACATCCTGCCATCCTGCCAACAGCCTGTCAGAATGAAAGTAGTGCTCTTGATACGGCTAAGACCTGCTTTTCAAAGGCGAGAGAAGCGGGGACTTGGCGACTTCTTTGAAGGGCTTGAAGGCAGGTCACAGCGTGCAAAAGCATCCACCGGCCTGTGCAGAACGTGTGGGGGTTTTATGAGACATGAAGCTTGGCCACAGTACTTTGCTGCCTCCATGCTGCCAGCAGATTACACGTTGGTCTCCAATGTGGAAGATGCTGATTTCGCCAGAGTCCAAGCAGACTTGATCTGATTTTTCATATTTTTCAGTCATGTTGATCCAGGCACATCCATATATGATCCAGGCACGGCAGTCTAGACATCGATTTGCTTTCGCGGCTGCCAGATCCTGGTCTCTGGTGTTGAAAGCCGCTTTGCAGGGACAGAGGCGACGGCCAATGCCAGTGATGCCAGTGATGCCAGTGATGCCAGTGATGCCAGTGATGCCAAATTCTTGTCCTTTTTGGTCAGGCTGAAGAGGCGTGCGACTACGAGCGCACTGGAGAGCATCGGCTGTACCGGCCTCTCTTCCGTGCAGCGATCCAGAGAATGTTGCCGCACCGGCGGAACATTGAAGACTTCAGCAGGAAGAGTAGGAGTACGAGTAGGAGTGCGCCGCCAGGCCGATGATTTGCGCGAATCCAGATTTGAGAGTGTGGAACCCACGCGCCTGCATGGAAGTGGTTGTGCTTTCAGGATTTCATCTCACAAGTTACCAGAGATAGCACTTGGATACAGATGGATGAGAAAAATTGGCACCTCGAAATTCGATGGTAATGCGATGAGGTCATTCGGCCCTCTGGCTGGAGGGCATACCTTGGCGGATCACTTGCAGCGTATTATGAGCGGCTGGGCGGGCAGGTGATCTACTTTGGCAAGCCACACAGCTCAGCTTTTGAGGAGGTGGAGTGTGAAAGACCCCATGACCATTAAAAAGATGCAAGCACCATCAAAGAAGGGTAGAAAGTTTTCTCGAAAGGTAAGTAATTTGTCAAAAATTGTGGAAAGATATCGCACGTGATAGAAACTGAACCACAATGATGTAAAGCAAACACAAATCAGCCATGTTCTGATGGTTTATACCACCCGAACAAATGGTAAAATAGTGGATGATGGATCCTATTGCTGTTTCTGTCAATAATAATCCCATCCCCCCCATCATATTCAACACATTTCAACACCCCCTTGTTCATCCCGTATGAAACCATGGTAAAAATCTCGCAGGCTCGTCGCCAGCTGTGTCTGGCAGTGGCTGGGGACGAGGACGCGGCCTTGGAGCTCGAGCTGGATGAGGCTCGGAAATCCCCAGGGAAAAATTTGGAGCTTTAGAGCTGGGAATATCGAAACCATGGGAAAAATCATGGGAAAATATGGACAATTATTGGAGAATTATTGAAAAATAGGGGGAAATCCTTGAAGTAAATGGAGGTTTATAATAGCTGAGAAATTCATCGAACTAAATGGTGGGTTTTCCAGCTACGTTTGATTGCCTGTCTTGCAAGGGGAGCCAGTTGAAGCCCCGACTTGGGAAACAAAATGGGATGATCATCTGATCCAAGATATTTTGGGATAACTTAGTGATAACCCAGGGGATGGAACCCTGGGTATAAACTGACTATTGAATTTATGAGTGAAACTGTGACGAAAGAGTGACTCAGGAATGACATAAGTCGGACGAGTAGAATAGAATTGGATGAATAGAATCAAACTAGTTGATGAGTCATCGGGTCTGGCATATTCTGGCATTGTTTGGTATGACCTCTGTTTGGTATGGCAAGTTCGAGATTGCAGCACCACCAGGACTTTCGCATATGTCACGTTGGTGACTCGTTGCAGCACGATGTGAGGGGCGCTCGCTCGGTGCTGCTTCTCAGGTTTTTAGCTGCTTAGCGTATCAGCAAAAATGATACCCTCTGGTAATTAATAATAGTTGATTTTCCCATTAAAAATGGTTATTTTCCATAGCTACGTTAAATTACCAGAGGGTAGCCGAAGTACACAACACGACTTTGTTTATCTTTGTTTTCCACCCAGAAAAGACACTGCAGAATTTCCCCTTCATTCAAGGTCGGTTTTGCTGCAGCTTTCGTTGGACGAACAGGCTCTGGGTTGAAGAATTAGCGGCAATTAAACATGGAAATGGAACATCCCGAAACTAAATGGAGGTTTATGGCATTTTATAAATCAACTATAAATCATATATCTCTATATATAAATATACACACCTATAATATATGTATGTATGTACATGTATTATATATATATACATAGACTATAAACGGTGAATTTTCCAGACAGCACTAGTCCTCGGATACCGCGCCAGGCCTTCATGCAGACGACATGGGAGGCCAAGATGCTCCACTGACCAAGGACGGGAATGCCATGTTCTAACTGCAAAGCACCAAAGTTGCAGGATTTCAAGGGAATAGAAAAGTGAGGGGGGATCAATAAATGGAGAAACTTTGACTGGGAGTATACATGAGTATACACTATAGTCACTATAGCTAGGTATGTATAGCTGGAAATTCTATAAAAAAGGCCGGCATTGGATTCCCAGGAAGGCGTTCGCGACCTTTGCTTGGAGCACAAGGCAAGTCGAAATATTGGCACACGCAGCACAATGATGGTATGAGTCGCCAGGTGCCACTGCCACAGGCTGCTCTCCCACGGTTTCAGTGGTGAGTTTGGCCAAGACCTGAAATTGTAGCTGACACATAAGGCTTCATAAATCAGCATAATGCTTCACAATGCTTCACAATGCTTCACATACATTGATTTCACGGCTTGCATGTGGGAAAGCCAGGTGTGTGACGTGGATTGATGCTGAAAAGGCACCATTGCTTTCTCTGAGGCCTAAGCCATGGACATCACGAAGCTCTGAAAGCTTGATGCAACCCAAGATGGGGAAGCTCGCTTTCAGGAAAGCTCGAGAGTGCCAAAATGACGCTCTTTTCCAATGTTCGGCCGAAGTCAGATGCAAACAAAGGACGTACTGTATCTTCGGTGTAAGTTAGCTTTTCGTAAAACTTCCTGACTTTGATTTTCCCTTGAGCTTGCTTTGCAGCGCTACTGACCTATGCATCTTTGGCTGCAAGCCCCTGGGGCTTTCCAGTGCTGCTGTTTGCAGCAGTGGACGGTATGCCCTGTACCGTAGGGTATGGTCAGGGGCCCAAGTTGCTACACTGGCAGATTCTTCACCCGGCCGTATCCAACCGTCTCCAACCAAAGATATGAGATTTTGGTGCATTTCCATGGATTTTCCGTAGATCTTTCCATTTTTTGGTGGCTTTTTATGGCGGAGTTCCAGCGTTTTTATGGCACCTTTGATTTCAGGACTTGATCCCTTGTAACCAGGTCTCTGTGCACCAGCTCTTTAGCGATGAGCTGCCAGATGAGGACTTTTTCCAACCATGGTGCCATTTACCATGGTTTATATAGCCCATGAACATCATGACCACTCTTATATTTATGGTAAGTTACAATGGTTTAACCCATGAACATACCACCCTTTATTTGATGATCCAAACACATATGAGAACTATGGAAAAACCATGAGTTTTCAAAGCATTCAGATGTTACTCCAGGACTTGGCGCTGGGATCTGTTCTCAAAAAACGGCGACGGCTGCTGCAAAGACGGCAGCGTTTCGGAGCCCAGTGGTGAAAAGAGACATTGAGAATATCTGAGAATTACGGATTTCAAATGATTTCACATGATTTCAAACAATTTCACATGATTTCAATTGTACATGGACCACATGGACATTATATTAAACACTATTTATTTAAATAATATTGGTTCAAAGTAATGATATGTGAGAATCACTTCTGTAGCAAATTTCAAGGGGTAGCTTCAGCTGGTGCTGCTTTCGAGGCAGATCCTTGTTGCAAACTTTTCCCAGGTCAGGGCACTCAGCTACTAGTAGGGTTGATAAGCCCCATTCATAAGGGTTGAGGCTTCATAATGTGGGTAAAGCGATAGTAAACCACAATCCCCCATGGCTTACCATTGTTATGGGTGGGATTTCATCCATCAAAACATAGGTGGTTTATGCCATTGCTTACACGAATCCTTTTCATCATGCCTGATTTCATTGGTAGCTGTTTGCTGCGTGCCTCAGGCCAAACCTTGGCTTCTCAGAGGATCTCGATGTCGCCCCCCACATACTGGAGGCAGATGAGTAGATGTCTCTGAACAGTGCAAGTTGTCAGGACAGGATAGCTTTTGATAGGCTCTATGCCTCGTTCTGTCCTTTAAATTAGAATATGGGGGTTTCCCTATACATGGTTGTACCCCAAAATGGATGGTTTATAATGGGAAAACCTGTTAAAATGGATGATTGGGGGTAGGAAACCTTATATATATATATGTACATACATATATGTATGTAATGTAATGTAACGTAACGTAACGTAATGTAACGTAATGTTATGGTATGTTATGGTATGTTATGGTATGTTATGGTATGTTATGGTATGTTATGGTATGTTATGGTATGTTATGGTATGTTATGGTATGTTATGGTAATGTTATGGTAATGTTATGGTAATGTTATGTAATGTTATGTAATGTTATGTAATGTTATGTTATGTTATGTAATGTAATGTAATGTAATGTAATGTAATGTATGTATGTATGTATGTATGTATGTATGGTATGTATGGTATGTATGGTATGTATGGTATGTATGGTATGTATGGTATGTATGGTATGTATGGTATGTATGGTATGTATGGTATGTATGGTATGTATGGTATGTATGGTATGTATGGTATGTATGGTATGTATGGTATGTATGATATGCATGGTATGCATGGTATGTATGTGGCGAAGCGGATCCTATCAACTGTCAGTGAGGGCCAAATCATCATCAACAGTGGATATCTTCAAGCTCAAAATTTGAGCAATTATGTGAACTACTTGTGGGCACAAGATGAAAGAACTGCAGGACGGCAGGTGATGTACAACCTGGGCGGCACTCATTGCGGAGCTTTGCAGGTCATGGTGTATGCGGCCTCCATGACCATGCAGGGGGTGGATGATTTTGTTTCGCCATTTCAGACGCATAATCAGTTGCTGATTCATGTGAATGTGGACACAATGTTGGAAGACATTTTGTCTGTCGGCATTTTGATTTCGCATATTCCCAACTACGTCAGCCTACCAGGGAATGGTCAAAGCTATTTCTTCGCCTGCAGGTACGAAACGGCGAGGGCTGTGCTCATCATTGACGGATTGAATACAACACCAGCTCCATACCTTCCAGTTGCAGCGCTTTATCCTGGGGCGGTGTTCATGCCCTCAATCACGTCAATGAGGAGGATGTTTATTGCGATCATCAGAGCGCTTGCAGACAGGGATGGATTTGAAGCAGGTCTGTTGGTGTTGTCAGAGATGATGGTCAGGTTTTTGCCAGAAGGACAGTGTACTGTTGTGGGGCCTTCAAATCCAGCGCATGTTGCGTCAGGGGCTTCAACAGTGATCACGATGGAACAGAGTGCGACAAAATACATGGCCACAGGTCTTTTGTATGATGTCAGTGAAGAAGCAAATCGTCCTCAACCAGCAGCAGTAACGTTTTTAGAATTCACGAGTCATTTTATCGATCTCTTGACGATGCTGGCAAACTTCTCAGGCATGGTCTTTGCAGTTCGGCACCTTGTGCTGCGGGCATATGCGATGCCATTCTTTTGCTTGACGGTGGACGCAGCACCAAATGCTATGCCTCCTGGTATGAATGGCATTGAGATCAGAAACAGAGCTGGCGAATTTGTTGGTACAGACTTTCAGGGACGCTCTGATGTGGGAACAGCATTGAGGAAGGCTATCGCAGACGTATTCGGCATATTGTTGCCAGAAACTGTGATAATTCCTCTGTCTTCAATTGGAGGCTGGCAGAATTGGCCTCAGGTACCGATGCGTGGACTTGATGTGAAGTTAACGACTCCAGGTTTGCTGCCAATTCTCAGTGGTCACAAAATTTGTGCGATGTGAATCGGATATTGTTCTGATGAAAACATGTATCTTGGAAAAGATATTCTCAGTGTGGCACGTGACAGGTTAGCTGTGAATGAAGTCTTCCATGCAGCAGGTTTTTTTTCCTAGCCTTTGGTATGTAGGTATGTAGGTATGTAGGTATGTAGGTATGTAGGTAGGTAGGTAGGTAGGTAGGTATGTATGTATGTAATGTATGTAATGTATGTAATGTATGTATGTAATGTATGTATGTATGTATGTATGTATGTATGTATGTATTTATGTATGTATGTATGTATGTATGTATGTATGTATGATACGTAATGTAATGTAATGTAATGTAATGGAATGGTATGTAATGTAATGTAATGGTATGTAATGTAATGTAATGGTATGTAATGTAATGTAATGTAATGTAATGTAATGTAATGTATGTATGTATGTATAGGTATATATATATAAGTACATAAATATAAGTATATATATAAGTACATATATATATATAAGTGTATATAAGTATATATATAAGTATATATATATAAAAGTATATATATAAGTATATATATATGCAAGTATATATATAAGTATATATATACTTCTATATATATATATAGACATAGATAATATATCATCATAAATGCTATTTGTGATAATTTGTGGTAACTAACTGGTGGTAGGCTTTATTTGCGACCACATAAGCCGTTGTTGACATGCACGAGTCAGTGCATGAACAGCTTTGCTTCTTCGATGTCGTAGCTTTTTTATCCTCCGGGCTGGTGCCGGGCTTTCCCTGCGCTCGAGTTTCAGCTGCAAGAGGGGGGAAGATGTTGAGCAGCTGGTGGAGTTCAAAATGTTTCGATGGCATCAACTGCTGAAACCCGAAAAAAAATAATCAACTAATCAACTGCCCATTTTTGGCCCTAATCCAGTCCGGATGCCCCATTTCCATTATTAAAAAGACTCCCTGAGGGCATGGCGATTCACGGCCGCAAAGCGGTGCAGCTGCTGCAGGTCCCAAATCCGTTGCCTGTGATGTTTACCCGAATCTTTGCTAGGGCCGTTTTTCTATACTCCCATAATTCGAGGATACACTTTCTGATCTCTGGGGCATGAACATCATGATTTATCATCATTGATGATGGTAAATCATGGTCAATCAACATAAATGAACCATCTTCGTCATCTTCATCTTGATGAAGATGATGATTCACCATTATTTTTCATGATTTGTCCATGATCTTCATCAACCACCTGTTTTTTTTGTTTTTGCAGAGGTGTCTTTTGCTGATTTTTTTCGGGCGCCAGGACCTGAAGCGAGCGAGATGGCTGCCACCCTTCAATGACAAGGTTGTGAAAGAGGCGATAAATGCTCTGAATGGTAGGAAAGAACAGGAAACATATGGAGAAATATGGGGCTTTCCATAAATGAGGGAATAGCTGGATGGTTTATTTCATGGAAAATCCATGAACATCCGATTTAAATGGATGATTTAGGGGTACGCCCCGATTTTAGGAAACATCCAAATATGGAAAATGTTAAGTTTTGGTCTACAAAAATCCAGCTTGAAGCGGAGAAAAACAGTAACAGTATTTTTGGCCTACAAAACGCTATGCAATCTGAATGAATCTTGTAATCTTTGCGCCTCATTCGGAGGTTGTAAAAGAGATCATGAGCGATCACAAGGAGATCCAGCGCATGCTTGCAGAGGACACAACTTTGGCTTTTCTAAAAATGCGCAAACTTGATCCGTTCAGGGTGGCTGGCGAAGCATCTAACAGTTAACTTACACAAAAACCATGTCAAAATTGCCTGTTTGTTCATTTGATCTTTGTGGTTGGAACCATAGCAATGTATTGCTCCTTTGAGGGGCCGAAAGAGAGCCCGTACACGATGTCATTCAGTGTGTGAATCGACTCGGTGGAGGAGTCTGAAGAGACCTTGGAAAATGAAGTTCTAATGGGGTGCCTCGTCAGAGATCAGCAACGAAGCCAGCTGCAAGCAGACTCCAGCTGTTTGATCATGGATGGATGCTGATGGATTGCAGGAAATTCATTGGATTCGTTGTCACTTGCCTGCATAGCGTGCCAGGCTGTACTATCTGGACGATCTCATAGCTAGAAATGTGCGCTGCCTTTTAGCCTACCTGAACGCCACTGCCCAAGAGCATCCAACTTGCCGTTGTTTCCCGATCTGGTGTCCACAATGCACATTTGCCCTGCATCAGTAGTACTCCTGCTAAGTGCGCAGTGATGCGGCTAAGGCGCGCCTCGAAATTGTTGAGCAGCTGCGATGGGAGGTAGGCTCCAGCCTCAGGACCAGCGAACAGGACAGCTCCCATTGCAGTCATGGCTATGTGTTTGATACATTTTTGCTTACATGTATATGCACTATATCTATATATATATAATATACATAGATACATATTCCGTACATCCATGTAATGTATACACACTGATACACATATTTTCTGCCATACTATACATATATTATATTATATTCTATTATATTATATTATATTGTATGATATTATATTGTATTATATCATATTATATTATATTATAATATAGTATATTATATTATATTATATTGTATTATATTATATTATATTATATATTACATGATATATTATTACATCATATTATATTATATTATATTACATTATATTACATTATATTACATTATATTACATTATATTACATTATATTACATTATTCTATAATTATATATACATATATATATGTATAAGCGATGTTATAATATATTACCTAATATTTTATTATATTGTATGTATGTCTTATATTTCATTATATGATGTTGCATTTTGTTGTACTTTTTTGATATTTTACTATACTATAGAATATCAAATTATATTATATCATATTATATATATCATATTATATTACATTATTATATTACATTATTATATTACATTATTATATTACATTATTATATTACATTATTATATTACATTATTATATTACATTATTATATTACATTATTATATTACATTATTATATAACATTATTATAACATTATTATATTACATTATTATATTATATTATTATATTACATTATTATATTACATTATTATATTACAACATTATACTATATTATACTATATTATATTATATTATACTATATTATATTATACTATATTATATTATACTATATTATATTATACTATATTATATTATATTATATCATATTCTATTCTATTCTATTATATCATATTCTATTCTATTCTATTCTATTATATTATATTATATTATATTCATTTGTATCATATCATATCATACTCTACTACATTATATGGTATTGCATGTTATTTTCATTATATGATATAATACTATGTTGTGTTATACCAGACCATATTATACTAGATTATATTGTATCGTGTATCGCATTATATTGTATATAATTATAGTATTATATATACTGTGTGATATTATATTGTGTCTTATGATATTGTATGTATTGTATCTATTCTGTAGATTCTAATATACTATATTATTTGTTTGATTATACGGATTATACTTTTTGATATGACATGATATGATTTGATACGGTATGATACTGCATGTGTTTTTTTTTTCAATTGTATGATATTGTATGATATTGTATGATATTGTATTACATTACATTATACTGTATATATATATGACAGATGATCTATATGTATATAATTTATGTATATATTTATATATGTATTGTACATATGCATATATATATATGTATATATATATATATATGCACATAAATACATCAAGATATAATAAACATGTAGCCCCCCCAAATCATGGACTGTATGATTTTCAAGGCCGGCTGGTGCCAGATGAGAAACTGGAAAAACTTCATGAGGCAGAGAGACAGCAGGGACGCCCAGATGATATGTGGGTGTGTTTGAAAATCGGGCATGCCCGCAGCCATCAAATAATAGGGAACATCATGATAATAGAGTAAAGATAAGGTTACCACTTTTTCAGTCAAATTCATTTGTTCATGAAATGTGCAAAAACACATGTTTTTTTCGGCACAGCTTTTGGCGAAAATCCCTGGGCATCGGCCTAGGTACTTCAACCGTTACAATGACATCCTGGACATCCGGCAGCATGTTGATTTGATCAGTGTTCAAAATCCCTGTTGGTTGATGAAAAAATATTGGGTCAAAAACTATCCAAATCTATCCAATATTAATTGTGAATTATCAGGATCTAGTATGGGATTCCCGTTCAAAAAAAAACCATCTTTTGGGTTGAAAAAACACTTTGACAGTAGAAACTTGCTGCTGGATCTTCCAGGACAAGTTCATGAAGCGATACGTTCACAACTGCAGTCATCCGCTGAATCTGACTGCATATGCAGAGGCCTGGTTGAGAAATTTCCAACTGCGGTTTCTGCGTCCTTTTCCGAGTTTCCAAGTTGCGTTTGTGTGAAATCAGGCCCCGGAGGATGTGAACATTCAGGCGCTGAATCTACGATGCATCGACTCCCAACCTAAAAGGGGCCTGTAGCGGGTATATTTCTGGGCATTTCAACCGCCGGGGTGATATATATATATATATCTATAGATATTATGTGTAATGTGTTTCTCTCTCTCTCTCTATATATATATATAATACTGTATATATATATATATGATGTGTAATTACACACTACAGTACATTACATTGCATTACATTGCATTAGATTGCGTTACACTGCATTGCAGTACATTTGATTACATTACATTACATTTAATTAACATGCATTACAATGCATTGCAATGCATTACATACAACTAAAGATTGCATTTCATGTCATTTCACTACATTACACACAATATGATATTTTGTATACATCGCACATATATTGTATACATGCCATGTATAGAACTCCACACCTCCCTCGAAGCCTCCATGGCCACTTCACCAGGTCCGAGTGCTGCGAGACGACCCGCAGCTGGATGGCATTGTGAGCAATGATAGCGGGCTGCTGCGTCTACGCGTGGAGACCCAGAAAGTCATAGTTAAAAAACCGGGGGTTCAAGAGATATGCCCCATTAAAGATGTCCAGTAGTGGATGATCATTTGGTAAGTGTTTTTGATCGTGGCACGCTTCGTTGATGTGGTTCACATCCCCTGGTGTGTTGCGGATTGTTTTGGATTCTGATTATAACGAGCTCACTAAGCCGTCTCTGAAGATGGTTAGAGGAATCATCCAAGCACGGCTGTCAGGCTGCTGAAGTCTCTTTGCCCAGAAAAAGTGATGGTTTTTGGGTATTTTCCTTGTCCTTTACGAAGACTCCAGTCGCCTCAATCGTAGGTGGTGGATGCCAAATGATGGTGAAAAAAAGCGATGTGGAGCTCCTCTTGCGCGCTGGCAAGGCTGGACTAGCACGGTGCCATTTTTGAAATGACATCACTACGGATATGTTTGAACATTGGTGTTTATAGCATCGAAATGGCAATTTTGATGTTGAAAAATGGGCTGTTCTTTTCACACTCGATTTAGGTGGCTACCCAAATCGCTGTTGGGCCAGGTGGAGCAGGTTGACACCTGCCGTGCTGATGTGGTTGGGGGCGGCTTCTGAGCCGTTTCGGGGTGGCTCTTGGACCCGGTGAGTTGAGTTGTTGTTTTCTTTGGGGATGGCGTTTCTGGCGTTTCCGTCCTGGTTTTTACACTTCGATGATTCGGTTTTTGTGTCTCCAAAGCCATTTTTGAGTTGCTGCTCTGAAATGCGAATTTCGGCGTACAGTCACCAAGGGTCCTAAGGAGTCTCAATTGGACATGACCTGAGGATGGGGATCGGTCTGTCCTGAGCTGCTGTAATTACTGGAGATCTCTCCTGGACGTCTCACAGAGCAAAATGTTTGCTGTGAAGCACCTATGTAATGAAGCAACATGAAGCAACATGAAGCAATGTGAAGCAGCGTCAATTTCGCACGACTTCCAAAGAAGGGCCTCGCTTGCAAATTTGACCAGGCGACAGTGGAGCAGGCATCCATACAGAGAGCCAAAGCCTCTCGACGTTTGAGGCGAGCCATCACGAGTAGCGCAAACTGCTTGCTCTACTCTACTACCCTCCGAAAGTGTTGGCTTATCACCACAAGTCTCATTGTTTATCAATGTTTCTCTTCGTGATTTCCATTTCAACTGGTCAAAAAATGGGACAATGTCCGGAATTTATATTTCAACTTGTCTCTCTTCCAGGTTTACATTTCAACGTATACCCCATCTCGGGACATCTCTTCCCAGACATGTTGTGTTCAGGGCAGCCTTGCTCCGAAATGGGGTCGTACCTCGGAGTTCAACGCGGTCACCAACACGCTGGTGGGGCCGTTGCAAACCGCATGAGTTGCTCACTAAAGTCACACAAAAAATGGTGCAGATATAGAGAAACCATGAGAAACCCAAGGATTTCCATATCTATGTTGATTTTTTTGGGGAGTAAGAACCTGCAAGCGCTTTTCATAAGTTGGATGTGCTTTGCTGAACTCAAGCGGTCAGAAGCTTGGAAGTACCATCACGTGATGTTAATCCTAAGCGAGCTGAAAACCTTAAGTTGAGGTTTCCTTGGCCTCTTGTACAAGTGCCGAAAGCTGTCAACATGTTCCCTTCACGACGACACTTCCGAACAACTTCCAGCTTTGTGTTCCATCGGACTGCGACACTGCACCATTGGTGCCTGGGAGGGGATCTCCACCGCCGTGTAAGACCAGCGAGGCTGTCCTTGATCCTTGATGTTAGTCTCAAATCACAGCTGTACAGTGCTGTTCTGTGCTGTTCCTACAATCTCTTCCCTTTTTTTATGGATTTCCGCTTCTGTTTGCAAAGAAGTTGGTAGCTTGACGGTTTTAGATGCTGAAAGAGCACAAGTTCGCTCCAGCGCCCTTTGAGGCCTCCGTTCCGGCGGTCTTTCCCTTTCCAGAGCCTATTCCACAAGAGATACCGCCAAGGCCGGAGATTCCGCTGATCTGGGGCCTCCGGCGATTTGAACAGCCTGTCAAGAAATCCGAAATGTCCAACAAACCAGGGCAGTTCAGGATTTTCAGGTGGTTAATAATGGTTAATGGTGGTTAATGGTGGTTAATGGTTTTTGCTTTTGAACTGCGAACATGAGACCCCGACAGGCGCCGATCGACTCAAAGCCGTGCGGCTTCGTCTTTGTCGGCCCGCACCTCTCCCACTCCAGGCTGCCCTTTGTCCTAGGTCTTAAGGGTTACAGCAAAGCCCAGATCAATTTGTGGGTTAAAGCTTGTTTGGTTTCCATTAGTTTCGCCTTAAACTTTCCCAGTTCGAGTAGAAAATCAATGGATTTTTAAACATGCTTTTCCATTTTGGATCTGAACAGCATGATTTTCCAGGTGACGAGCGTCTTGGGTCCCCAATCCCCAGTGCACCTTCAGCGCCCACGTCACGACCCAGCTCGCGCAACAATGCTGGCAGCCCAGCTTCTTGATCCCCTGGAGGGTTTGGATTTATTCAAACAGTTGGGGATTTACCACTTGTAAGGCCATTGAATGATAGGGACAGTGAAGCTTTAAACCAGTGAAAATTGGGGTGCAGGAACCGTCATTTTGTCAAACCAAGCCGTTTAGTACAAACAATGTCCGGTTTTCTGGCTAAAAAAATGCACACACCGATTGCCAATTGTGATACACATTTTGATCATAGGCATCAGTTTGCTGGGCTTCCTGGCAAACAGTGTTCTTGGAGACCGCATTTGATGATAGCTTGAAGTTTCAGGTGCCGGCAGTCTTTCCGTTTCCGGAGCCCATTCCGCATGAAGTGCCCCGAAGGCTTGATGGTGTTGAACTATGTCATGATGAGTTTGGCAATATGATTTTGATCATTGCTGTTGCGTTCAAGTGACGTTTCTTCACTTCATTTCTGTAAGATCTGTAGCTGCGCTTGCACGTGGCTTCAGATAAGGCCATGCCTCTACTTGGGGTTACAGTTGAGGAAATAAAAATAATAAATGAGACTAAATTGGTACCAGTAGTGAAGTTGTAGTTGTAGTTGCAGTTGTAGTTGCAGTTGTAGGTGTAGTTGTAGGTGTAGTTGTAGGTGTAGTTGTAGGTGCAGTGTAATGTGGTGTAGCGTAGTGTGGTGTAGTTGCAGTTGTAGTTGTGGTTGTCGTTGTGTTGTACAACTAGTAGTTGTAGTTGTGCGGTGTAGTTGTGGTGTGTAGTTGTAGTTGTAGCTGTCGTTGTAGTTGTAGTTGTGTGGTATAGTTGTGGGGTGTAGTTGTAGTTGTAGGTGTCGTTGTAGTTGATGTTGTAGTTGTAGTGTAGCCTGCCACGAAAAATGACATTGAACGTCCAAGAGTGGTGCGAATGTGGTGTGCGTTTACCATTCTTACGTCGAAATGTGCTTCGCGCCACAACGGCGTGCACTGTTTGGACGGCTTAACTGCCAAAAGTGCTCCGACACTGAGGTGCTTCTGAATCATTTTGATTCCGAAATGTGCTTCGCGCCACAACAGCATGCACTTCTTTGAACATTTCAACTTCCAAAAGTGCTCCGAACCCGAGGTGCTTTTAACAGTTTGACTTGCTTGGAAATGTGCTTCGCGCCACAGTCGCGTGCACTTTTTCGACCGCTCAACTTCCAAAAGTGTTCTGAGAATGAGGTGTTTTGAGCATTTTGACTTCCAAATCTGCTTAGTGCCCCAGCGGCGTTCAATTTTTCATCTCACATTTGCCCAGATGGCTCCCCCACACGAGCTTACTTTTCGGCCCTCCCGAGCCACAAACGATTGGAAAGACACAGTGTTTCGCGACTTTTCTACCTTTTCTCGAACCTGGATCTTCTTTCTACTGACTCTTTCTCTTCTGACTCTTCTTTTCTCTGACTCTTCCCACCTCTGTTTCTCCATCTGTCCATATTGTCGGAAGTTTGACTTGTAAACTTCCTTCGATAGCTGTGTAACCCTGGTGATTTCAACCCCCATCAGTTGGGATATATAGCCCTGAAAGATGTATAATAATATATATATATTATATATATAATGTTATATATAACATATATAATGTTTTATATATAACACATATAATGTTTACATATATATATATATAATGTATAATGTTATATATATATAATTATATTTATATCGAATATTAGATATATGATACATTCATATCCATTTATTCGTCGGAACTCTTGCTGGCCTGGACAGGCTGCGCCGTGAGACTCCTTCTGGGGCTGTGATGGGCCCCAGTGCAGCAGAGTTGGGTGAAGTCCGCCTCAACACGAAGCAATGGGGTAGAAAGCAACGCCCAAATAGATAGAAACGTAAATCATCACTATTTCGCTAGGATGTACTTTTCTGTGTTGTTTTTTGGTTGCTATAGTGTGGTAAACCCAATGGCAACAGCCATGGTGTATAATACCATCCCCCGTTCATATTAACAGAAACCATGGTACAAAAACAGGGTTTGGAACACATATTTGGGATCATACAGTGGGGTGTTGAATACTAGGGGGATGGGATTGCTAGACATAACTCTGGTCATATTGGGGATGGGGGATGGTTTATAGTTGTTCTTACAACATTACGCAATTGAATGACATATTTAATATACCATTCGCAAATGACTTGCCAGAAATGGGTGGTATTAACTGTATCAACCATTTCCCCAATTCGCTGATTACATCATTTACTCAGCTTCCGATGCTGTGGCCGCAGGCGGAGATAGAGAGGACTGCCTTGGGAGGAACCATGTCCTTCTTTGACCATGAACACATTTTGGTCAAAAGGATCCCAAAGTGGGGGGCTCTTCAGACTCAGACTGGAAGAGCATAGCAGAGCATGGCAGAGCTGCATGATTTTGCAAGGAAACCTTCTCCGGAGCCTGAAGGCGCCACTTGCCGCGTGGCGCTGTGTACCTGGATGATGGAGTCTTTTCACACCAGTTTTTTTTTTTCGCAGCCTTGGCTCAGACGTAGTCTATGCTTCCGGTGCTTAGAGGTCTGGAAGAATCTAAAATCCACCAGTCTCTCCAGACTTTTAATTACAAGTTCCGCATGGAAACAGTCCAGTGTCCTTTGAGTCCTGCCTGTGCTTTCCTTAGGTCTGGCTCAAATTACCAACCCCAAAAATGGTCGGTTCACTGCAAATATGCACATTTTGTTGGTTGATTGGTATCCAATTTTTGAGCCATAACTGCTTATTGTCATGGTCAGTCCTGTCCAGTCGCCGTTGCCAATGGGGCGAGCGCGGCTGCAGCTTCTGTCTCTCTGGACGAGCTTCCACTTGACGACAGGGTCGTGTTCAGGGTCG